CAAACGAATAATCTGAAATTCGACGTGGCTCAAATAAACAACCGCTAAAGATATCCTTGAATCACCACAGCTGATACCTACTGCGTTACTCTATTGTTTACAATCATTCGAATAAAATGCAATTAGCTCGCTATATAGATGTCGAGGTTCAGAATTCTATTTACACATTCATGTACTGTCGACTGTGGGATTATGGGACTTTACCGTGTATAACTAAGCTCTGTGTGGGAATGCCATGCTTCTGGTTAATATGAAGTCATATCTACGTTATTATGATTGTCTTAAGTACGTTCCTAGAACACCAGGGTGCGTATAGTCCAATCACTTGGAATGCATAAATGTGATATGCATCTGTGTATTGGTCAAAATAGCGTTTGATTAGCCAGTTCTTGTTCATGCCATTCACAAAGACATCTATAAGGAATGCACATTTTCTTTGGTAATGAATGTGCAATGTAAAACAAAAATAAAGGATACTCTGCAATTTCTCTTCAAAATAGAGAGCACTCCAGTGGCTCAGTGGTAAATCTGAGAGATCACTCTGCTAGGAACCGGATACTCCAGTGGCTCAGTGGTAAATCTGAGAGATCACTCTGTTAAGAACCGGATACTCCAGTGGCTCAGTGGTAAATCTGAGTGATCACTCTGCTATGAACCGGATACTCCAGTGGCTCAGTGGTAAATCTGAGAGATCACTCTGCTATGAACCGGATTTCGATACTTGTGATGGGCATAGCACAGATAGCCTATTGTGTAGCTTTGTTCTTAGTAACAAATTAAAACTGTGAGAACAAATATCAGGTACAGCTTTGCAGGACTTGAGGCCTAACTTAGAGGAAGGCTAGAAAATTATCTTCAATAATTTTGGGGTATGGTATTTTACCATGAACAAAACTGACTGGATATTAATTTTTTTTTCCACTGTAGTAAAGTTGATCGTTATTGCTATATAGTTTGTTAACGATGACTAAATTCTTATATATCCTTTCATGGATTTCATTATAATTTAGAAAGCGTAAGAAAAGTCCGAGCCATGCTTGCTGATCATGCAAATACGTAAGAATAATATAGTTAGAAAATAAAATGTGTCAAAAGTTGATGTGCGGAACTGGCCGAACCAATGTTGATGCAAAATCAACTTAGGTGGGCCATCCAAAGATTAAGTTTAAATGGAAAAACCAATGAGCGAACAATTCGAATAGTAGTCGTTTACTGATATAATAATAATAACTGAGGAAAGAATGACAGTATCGCTGATATTACAATAATAACTGAGAAAAGAATGACAATAGCATTCATATTACAATAAGAACCGAGGAAAGAATGACAATATCTCTCATATTACAATAATAACTGAGTAAAGAATGACAATAGCTCTGATACTATAATAATAACTGAGGAAGGAATGACAGTATCACTGATATTACAATAATAACTGAGGAAAAAATGACAATTTCTCTGATACTACAATAATAACGAGAAAAGAATGATAATAGCACTGATATAACAATAAGAACTTAGGAAAGAATGATAATAGCACTGATATAACAATAAGAACTTAGGAAAGAATGACAATAGCTCTGATATTACAGTAATAACTGAGGAAAGAATGACAATTGCTCTGATATAACAATATTAATTGAGGAAAGAATGACAGTATCACTCATATTACAATAAAAACTGGGGTAAGAATGACAGTATCGCTGATATTACAATAATAACTGAGGAAAGATTGACAGTATCACTGATATTACAATAATAACTGAAGAAACAATGACAATAGCACTGATATTACAATAATAACTGAAGAAACAATGACAATAGCACTGATATTACAATAATAACTGAGTAAAGAATGACAATAGCTCTGATACTACAATAATAACTGAGGATAGAATGAGAGTATCACTAATATTACAATAATAACTGAGGAAATAATGACAATAGCATTGATATTACAATAAGAACAAAGGAAAGAATGACAATATCTCTGATATTACAATAATAACTGAGTAAAGAATGACAATATCACTGATATTACAATAATAACTGAGAAAAAAATGAGAATAGCCCTTATATTACAATAAGAACTGATAAAAGAATGACAATTGCTCTGATACTACAATAATAATGAGAAAAGAATGATAATAGTACTGATATAACAATTAGAACTTAGGAAAGAATGATAATAGCTCTGATACTACAATAATAACTGAGGATAGAATGAGAGTATCACTAATATTACAATAATAACTGAGGAAATAATGACAATAGCATTGATATTACAATAAGAACAGAGGAAAGAATGACAATATCTCTGATATTACAATAATAACTGAGTAAAGAATGACAATATCACTGATATTACAATAATAACTGAGAAAAAAATGAGAATAGCCCTTATATTACAATAAGAACTGATAAAAGAATGACAATTGCTCTGATACTACAATAATAATGAGAAAAGAATGATAATAGTACTGATATTACAATAAGAACTGAGAAAAGAATAACAATAGCACTGATATTACAATAAGAACTGAGAAAAGAATGACAATTGCTCTGATACTACGATAATAATGAGAAAAGAATGATAATAGT